TCAAATTAAGTGAAACAAACAGTTTTAGATGAAAACAAACTCAATTGAGGTGAGTTGTTTCCAAACAGCCCCATAAATTACACAAACAATCTCAACCAAACAAACAGCCTTGAAACGAGTTTCTCTTTTAAATTTTAAATGTACTTGAATGTTATATGAGATAAATAAAAGGGAAATAACAGCAGCTGTGTCAATTGCACAAGGTAGAATACGTGGAAATGTATTTTGCACAATTAAGCAAATTAAGCTAATCTGATTTTTTTTTTGCTGAATGCAAATTTGTCTTTTTTGTGTGTAAGAAATAATGAAAATAAAGACAACAAAATAAAGATAGACTAATTTTCTTGGTGAACCTAGCTCTGATACAAATGATGCGAAACCCCAAGACCCTTGCTTGAACCTTAGAACTCTTCAATCGGTTTAGAACGAAATTTAGATTACAAGTAAAAAAGGAATCAAATTTGTTCAATCACCCAAATGGTAAAAGTTAAAGAGAACCCAAGAAAGATAAATGATATCCCTTAAACCCAATCCAAACAAGCATCAAGAACAATTGAAATAGGAAATCAAAATTAAAATACAAGTGATAACAATTGTATTCCAAATTAACACCTTGTGCATAAAGTGAAAAGAAAGTCAAAACTCTCTCAACTCAATTCTGAAAAGTTTGATTACAACTCTTGATGTCCACAAAGAAGAGTTCCTTTGGTATTTATAGCCAAAGAAATCAATGATAAGTTACAATACAATAACTACAATTGTAACTCCCACAATAACTAGGTTAAATATGTGGTAATTATAATTGTAACTCCAACAATAACTACGCTAATTATAGGCATGTAATTGTTATGTAACTTCTTGTAACTCCAATCTTCTTAACCAATACCATTAATTATTTGTGCCACCATATAGTTATGGGCTTATTTTTGTAATAACACTAACACAAGACTTAAGCCCAAAATGAATTATATTTAACTATATGGGCTTAATTAACTCAAACTAAAATAAAATAATCCAAAATACTTAAAATAACTCAACTAATCTAGTCCATACACAAGGCTTATTCATCCATTATCAA